GACTCCCACAAGAACCCAATTACAGAACTTATCTGAAAAGTAGGATGAGTCTTTTAAAGAGTATGCCCAGAGGTGGCGAGAGATGGTTGCGAAGATTCAACCGCCAATGTTGGAGCGGGAGATGGTTGAAATGTTTAGTAGTACTACACAACTTGCAGTACATCAGGAACTTTTGCCGAGATGGTAACGCATGGAGAGCGAATTGAAATCGGAATTAAATTGGGGAAGATCCAAGATGTTTGTGCTGGAAATAATGCTAGTAACACCAAGAAGTCTTTTGGTGGTCACTGAAACAACCGGCTGAAAATCATCAAACAATGAAGTTTCCATCGAACGTCTTTTATCCCACAGGAAGGGAAAGGTAAACATCGAGAAAACCCGAGAAGGATGAAATCAAGGTCGAACGACCAAGAGATAAGGGTAAGGGAGTCCGTTACGCGAGGGGAAGGTATTAGCACCCCACACGCCCGTAGTACTCTACGGTATCCACTCTTGTTATCTATCTTATGGGTGTGTTTAATCTATGCTTACTGTTTATTATACTACTGAAGGGAATGCTTGCAAAAGAAAAGGGAGAAAATGTAGGGAAAATAAAAGTTGTGCTCGCTTGGGCCCTACCCCAATGCCTACGTATCCCTTTTAAGGAATCAGAGCAGCCGTAGTTCGGCTTACATGTTTTTGTTTGTTTGTATTTTTTTTACTGAACATTATTAATTTCGCCTTCTGCCGCAACTCGACCGTTGGATACTTACGCGTCAGCACAGAAGTGAATTAACATGCTCTTCTGAAAAGTTTGGAAAGAAATGTGCCTGGACGCACAAAAAGTTTTGAATTTGTTTGTGTTTGTAATGAATGATATTAATTTCGCCTTCTGCCGCAACTCGACCTTTGGAGACTTACGCGTCAGCACAGAAGTGAATTAACATGTTCTTTCTCAAAAAAAGAGTTTTGAAAGAAAGGAAGGCCCGAAGGCAAAAAGAGCTTTGTGTTTGTCGATATTTTCGCTTGTGGATAATAGCTAGTTAATCTCAAGGGAGAGATTTTAGCCATGTCTCTACTTATTCATGAAATGAGTCTTTGAGACTTGAATCATACCAAAGCTTAGAACAAGAGAATAATAAGGTCGAGAAGAAACCCGCTCATCATCTCTCAAACTTAGCCAAGACATGGTTCTTGTCAGTAAATTTTTATGTATTTTTGAAGTTTGTAAAAAAGGTTTTAGTTTTAGATGCGTATGCAAAAAGGGAAAGAAACGTTATAGGGAGACTAGCCTAAACCTGATTCTATCACACTTCATATGATCTATGGGAAAAGATAAATGCGAGGTAAAAATAGAAAGAAAGTATACCAAACGGATACTAGCCCGTAGAGCAAAGCAGAAAAAGCAAAGATACTTGATGTTCTTGCAAGCTACTAGCACCAACAAAGAAAAGAGTCAGAAACCCCATTACTGAAGCATCTTTTAAGGTGAAAATGAATCACAATCGGCATCTCGAACATATCCATATAAAAACCTGCATAAGACTCGAATCTTGACGAGCAAAGTGAATTACCAGTTTCGAGTAACCGAATAATCATGAATTAATTCACAAAGGCAAAATAATAAAAAGAATATAATAAGTTCTCCTCTTTTCTTTTCTTTTTTTTTGATTTAACCATTTGAAATAACAATTAAATAAATGAATAATAATAAAAGGAGAAAAAGAAATAAAAGAATTCCAAAACGACGGCGTTTACTGTAAACGACCCCTTCCAGCTCCTTTACGCAGAAAGCCTTTCTTCTACATGTCGACAACAACAATGGCGATGCCGCCATGACTCCACCCCTTCTCCCCTGTTCTGATTCAACTTTCTTGCTAACACCACCTAACGTCTCCCTCTGAATTCGATTCCTTTGCTTGCTTTCGTCAATTTCTCTTCCTCTATTCCAAATCTAACAACGAAACTTAAGCTCTACATTTCTTCCGATCAAGATTACATGGTGGATTTATCGTTTGCCGCATTTTACCCTTCGCGGTTATGGTACAGACCAAGCAAAAAAAAGTCGTAAAAAGAAGAAGATTGAGGATTACCTATCAAAGGCACGTTGGTAGCGCTTCAGAAATCCAGAGGTGAAGTAATACAGTTATTGTCCTTCTTGATCTTGTCTGCTTCGTCTTGATTCTCTCCTCACTGTCTTCACTTTTTCTTTGGTCCAGAAGTTGCGTGCGTTGGCGATAGGAGAAGAGCGGAAATGATGACAATTATGAAGATTATCGCAAGTTGAGAAAAATTAACTTTGTATGATGAATCAGAGAGAAGTGAAGCTTTGAGAACTAACTGAAGGTCAAACAATGGAGAGTGGAGGTGAAGACGGAGTTTAGAGAGGGGAAATTGAAGATTATGAGAGTTCAGAAAAATTGAGAGTGAATGATGGAGAGGGAAGAAGTTGTTTTGAAGCTGATACAATGATGAAGTTTTGAAACTGGAGAAGAGAGAGTGACCTCGTCCCCTCAAACTTGGAGGGAGTTTGGATTATATAGGTAGTTGAGGGAGGAAACGGTTATGTGGGAATCAATCTGAACCATTGATTTGGATAGAGTTTGTTAGGGATTGAAGGGTGAGATTGAGAGTTGGTTACAAGGTGGTTATGCTAGTTGGGAATTCTGTTTTCCTGGATATGAACCTCTTTACTATTATATGACTAGTATCCTTTAAACTTTTTAACTTTCACCCTTATGACATGACCTTATCAAGTTAGAAAAATGAACGAGTAGATTCCAATCTTAAAAATAATATATCATCAGAGCTGCAATGCAAGATTTGGCTGTAGCTGAGGACCAGTTTCGATATTGGAGCTCCATAAATTTGTTGCCTCAATCATCCTATTCAAGTCACTAGCATGTGAAAAAGAACTCTGTGGCTTAGTAGGAGTTTCTTATCCTTGACAAGACGAATTTCCGGCTAGCCCCTAAGACGATCTTCGTGACTCAAACCCAGATTCCGGACCTGATAAATTGCTGGAATCTGATTGACTTGAGTTGTTGAAGAATTGGGCCTTGAGAGCTGTCGAATTAACATTTGTAGGAGCAGTTTGACTGGACAAATTGTGTATGGTATCCATGTCTAACATTTGAGGAGCATTACTGGCTTTTGAAGAACCGGTTATGTCAGCAAGTCTTACCATCTTCATTTGAGGTGAAAAATTAGAGCCTAATCGTCCATTTGAACCAAAATCATCATACTGCACCATGGGTTCCTGCTGAATCATCCCATGAATCATGGATTCATTCCTGCCACTAATACTGCTGCTTGGATTCATTTCGTTTTGGTAACCGAATTCTCTGTTCATTACCATATCTCTACTTTGAAATGGTGATGCATTTACAAGAGAGAACATTCTTGATGGAGAAGAAAATCTACTTCTGGCTTTATAATCACATTTCCCAACAAGGACGTCCATTATGATATTTTCCAACTGGAACACAAGTTGCATAGGATCCATCCTCGATCTCATCAGCTTTCGAGCTCTTATAACTGTATTTATGGTGTCAGGTGATAGGGCCAAATCTAGCAAATCAAACAATTCATCATCCAAAACAATCCCGGTAAGCTCATAAACTAAAGAAACGTTAATCTTTTTACCAAGCAAACTTAGCTGATTAAGCAGAATTTCTGCATCCTTAACAGAACCACAGGATTGAATACGAGTTGTAAAATTTCAAAGCAGACAACATTTTTAGAAAGATGTTTTACATTGGTCTTGTCAGCTGTCACAGGTGAAATGGTGGTCTGGCCAATTAACTGCCCAACATCATATATAGCAACTTTATCACCTTCACCAACGGCGAGCCGACCATGTACACTAACATTGAGCAAGGACTTCACAGGAGAACCGTTTGCTAAGTGTGACTTGAGATCCTCGGAATTAGAATAATCAACCTTTATCTTGAGATCAAATGATCCACTTTTATAAGCTTTCTTCAACTGCAAGAGATCAATGCCATGAGAAATCACTCTGTCTTCACCCAAACCGACATTCTTATCCTTAGAATGGTGGAAGTCTCGTCTACTAATTACTGATGGCATCAAGGCGGAGCAAAGATTGAGCACCTGACTCTCAACATCAAATTCTTCCAATAACAATGGAATCCCTTCTTGAAGCTCTTTTGTAATACATAATTTGAGTGAGTTATCTACATCTAATTTTATGTCATCTTCAAAATCTGAATCACTATCTGGCAGCTGATCTCCATCTTCAATAAAGGGTAAAAATGACTGAAATGTGTTAGAACCACGAACAGGTGCACTGTTATCTACAGTAAATTTTCGTGGTTTCAAACATTGACAATTACTACCCCTAACACCTCCAGCTCCACAGTCACAAAAGAAGCGGCTTGAGCGCGAGTAGACTACACGGTGACCTCGATGACAAACCTTTGCACAAACTGAGCAACAACCTTTTGATACAGTCAGGTCACATGTATAGCAGAAATACCAATGCTGCTCCATGAAATTGCTTCCACTGGAAGTAAATGTGCAAACTTTAGAGGCAAGGGCCCTTTCATTGTTGGCATCCTCTTCATCATCTTTATCTATGCTAAGAACCTCTCCATCAGAAGTTGCATCATCCTCATCCTCATCTACAGAAGTAGCATCACATTCTAGAGAGGCTAATCCACCTTGATTGGAAGAAACAATGAATGTCTCGGAATTTATTTTTTTTAGACCCAACCACTTGAGCAGCCGCATGACCCGCCCCAGCGCTATTGCCAGAATAACATTTCTTAGTTGTCCTTTGCAAGGAAATTTTACCAGATCCACATTCGTCCAAGACAATTGCAATAAAGACAAATAGAAACTTGAGTCCTAGAAGCAAACCCTCATTTCTCGCCAGTTTCCCCATCAAGATTATAGTCCTCGTCAAAAGCTGTTTCATCAAGAACTCTCCCCTTGAAATTTGAGCAATGAAATTGAAACATGACTTGGCCACATGTATATCGAACAGCAAAAATGCATTATCAAGTAATAGCAGTGCAGAATTGAAAATATGATGTTGCAACGCTATCGACTGTTTTTTCAGATGGCGGCGATACTAGGCATAAAATAAAATTCATGGTTGAATCTCGGAGAGAAATGGAGCTCCCCTTTGCAATGTTCACCCCACCCTCTGATTTCATTATGCTTCCTAAAAGCCTTTTCTCCAACCATTTAGATACGCTCTGTATATCTCTGTCAATGAATTTCCTTTGTATCCTCATTCTGAGATGAGGAAATTGCTCTCCAGATAAAAGATCTACAAAGAAACCAAGAACTTTCACATTCACTGATTCAGAGAAACATGTATCTAGGGAGTCAATTAAAACCAAACAGTCACCAAGATGCAACTGCAACATCTTACTCATCTGCCCAGGCACATTTTCAACACCAAGACAAAAGTGAAATACAACAGACTTTGAAGGATCTTTTCTAAGACTGCTTAATATCTCAACCATTTTACAGATTATCTATTCGTGGATAAAGCAATCACTTGTTTTCAGTATTTGTGATGGCAGTCCCCCACATTTCATCACAATTTCTTTTCCGACCTTGATAAGTTCTGTTTCTGACTTGGGGACCTTCAAATGTCTTGTGAACAACAGCCAACTAGTTTCATCATCTAATAACTGTAATGGGTGAAGAATGATTCTACCTGCTACATGTTGGGCTACTGTTGCATTGCGAGTAGTAAAAAGAACTCTGCTTCCTGTTAACATATCAGGTATGACCCTGTTCAAGGTATCCAAGTATACTTTGGATGTTTCTTTAAGGCCATCAACAACTATAAGGTACTTTGAGTGTGCCAAGGTTATGAGTACGTAATCAGTGGGCATGTTTTCTTCTTCTACTGTAATTTTCTTGGCGGTCTCCTTGCCAATTTCTGCAACAAACTGGTCTGTCGTACAATTTGAAGGCAGTGACACCCATACGCGATGCTGAAAATGAGCTACAACAGTGTTGTCTTCAAATATCAAATTGGCTAGTGTTGTCTTACCTGTGCCTCCGACTCCAACAATCCAAGTAATGCAGCGGCATTTCTCGTCCGACAATAACTCTGTCATCAGAACTTGTGTGTCATCATCAAATCCAACCACACTGGATTTCTTGGCAGCGAGATACGGTTGCATCCGTGCACGTAATATTTGAATCTTAGATACGACTCGGCTTTGAATTTGCACTAAACCATATGCTTTTCTTCTCCTAGAAGCATCTTCAATTTTGTTTCGGATACCATCTATCTTCTTACTAACAACATGTCGAGTCCAGTACTTACAAATGTAGATGAGAATTGGCTTATGATTCAATTTGGCATCATATTTGTTAAGGACAAATTGAGCTTCAAGGGAAATACCTCTTAGTTGCTCCACCCAGATTCTGGATCTTCCATCTAGTTTTTCCCATTCCATTTGCATCCAGAAGCAATGCGTCCGTTAATTCCTTTTCCCCTCTGATTAATTGGACCTTCATTTTGAGCCCCATGACTGGCTGATACGAGGAGGAGGCAGCTGCGGCTGGTACAATATCTGAACTTTCATCGTGTTCAACAATGATTTCATCCTCAATATCTCTCTCTTGAATGCTGCTAATTGGGGTTAATAATGGTGTGGGATAATCTTTGAAAATAACAACTTGAATCATGAAGAGATTCTTGATACCATGTACTTTAATCTCAACTTATATTCATGTGCCATCTTCCTCCGCAAGAATTTATGAAATAAACCTTCGGGCATGTTATTTCCTTTTTTATCAAGTTGAACCTTAATCCATGTTTGAAACCAAAGTTCTTGCACAAATATCCAAACAATAGCTTGTACCAATTATTCGTAATACCTTGTCCGTCAAGCAACCAAATTTACCATACAAAATATCTTAAATCATGATGTACCCAATCCTAATTGATTAACTTAAGGATAGATGAACTTAATGCAACAATGACATAGTCAACAACCTGTAATGCAAGCATCATATGCATCCTGGATTGATAACAGATCTTGATCCTTTAGAGAAGATCTTAATACACCCCTAGTCTTGACAAAACCTTGACCAAATGACAAGCACAACGATAGAATGAGGTGTTTTGAATCATGTACGCGAGATCATAATCTTATGTTATTGACAGGAATACCCTGCAACCTATTGTTCAACAGAAGATAATAACCTTGTAGCTTGATGGAGAAGAAATAAAAAAAAAGAGAATGAACCAAAACCCTAATTCCACAGCTTGCTGCCTGAATAAGAAATCATCCCTTATTGGATACGAGCGCCTTAACCACTGGGAAACCCTAGTGTCGCACAACCATTGGACTTTGAACCTCAGAGCTATTTATTTTTATGAAAAATGCGTGCTATGCAAATGAACCATTGGAATGATGCAGATGAATGCAAAAAGTCCAAGCCAAATAAAAGAGATTAGGAGGGCAAATTTTGGGGTGCAACAGCTGCCCCTATTTAATTGCCTTCAACCTGAAGGTGAGATTGGTGCCAGCCTTTCGAACTTTCAAGGTGGAAGAAGATTAAATACTTAAAAGAACCCGAAAATTTGCGCTCCGGAGTCAGTCAGGTATTATTATTTTTGGTCTTTCTGGGTTAAAGGGGTTATCGGGGTTAGATGTATGTTTAACCGGAGTTTGACACATAGCAGAATAACTTGGTTATTAAGGAACATCTGTTGGGATTTAGTAACAAACACCTGTAAGAAAGATATCAAAAGATATACGCCTGAAGTCCGTAGCAGACATGCGAAAAAATATCAGAGACACATATCCGGGGTTGGTAGCGGATATACAAGAAAGAGACATCAAAAATACATATCCGTGGTCGGTATTGGACACGTAAGAAAGAGATAGAAAAGATACATATCCATGGTCGGTATCGGATACACACAAAAGATATAGAAAAGATACATATCCGTGGTCGGTATCAGATACATACGGCAGAGACATCAAAGATGCAAGAACACATGTCTGGGGTTGGTAGAAGACATATAAAACAAGTATCAAAAATACATATCCGTGGTCGGTATCGGATACGCATAGAAGACATCAAAGATACAAGAACATATGTCTGGGGTTGGTAGCAGACATATAAAGCAAGTATCAAAAATACATATCCGTGGTCGGTATCGGATACGTAATGACAGAGACATCAAAGATACAAGAATATATGTCTGGGGTTGGTAGCAAACATATAAAACAAGTATCAAAAATACATATCCGTGGTCGGTATCGGATACGTAAGAAAGAGATATCAAGAATACATATCCGTGGTCGGTATCGGATACGTAAGGAAGAGATATCAAAGATACAAGAATATATGTCTGGGGTTGGTAGCAAACATATAAAACAAGTATCAAAAATACATATCCGTGGTCGGTATTGGATACGTAAGAAAGAGATATCAAGAATACATATCCGTGGTCGGTATCGGATACGTAAGGAAGAGATATCAAAGATACAATATCCGTGGTCAGTATCGGATACGTATGCCAGAGACATCAAAGATACATATCCGTGGTCGGTATCAGATACGTATGAAAGAGACAGACCGAAGAAAGCTCTTACAAAGAAAACACCAATCGAAGGTGAACTTACCGAGGGAAAAGACCAAACAAATGGGACTCCTGACAAATGATACCAGTCGACGATGGATTTTAACAAATGATACCAGCCGAAGCGGGTTTTAAAAAATACCTGTCAGAGCGGGGTTTTGAAAGATACCAGCCGAAGCGGGATTTTAAAAAAAGATACTAGCCGAAGCGGGGCTTTGAAAGATACCAGCCGAAGCGGGATTTTGAAAGATACCTGCCGGAGCGGGGTTTTGAAAGATACCAGCCGAAGCGGGATTTTAAAAAAAGATACTAGCCGAAGCGGGGCTTTGAAAGATACCAGCCGAAGCGGGATTTTGAAAGATACCTGCCGGAGCAGGATTTTGAAAGATACCAGCCGAAGCGGGATTTTGAAAGATACCAGCCGAAGCGGGATTTTAAAACATGATACCAGCCGAAGCGGGGCTTTGAAAGATACCAGCTTTTGTACCCCAAAATTTTCCCTCCCATATTCTTCAGGGTTTGCTAAGATCATGCTTCAAAATCTCCCAAGGGTTGCACAGTCCAATTGCCTCCTAACAGTCAAAAATTAGGGTTTTGGTTCTGGAAAAGAAGTTGAAGTTTCCAAGGGTCCAAACAAGTCCCACATGCCTATAAACATTGTCAAGCATCCTTATGCCAAGTTTCAAGACTTACAGCACAAGATTGCACAGTCAAAAACCCTAATTGCTTCACAGTCAACTGTAGGGGCAAAATGGTCATTTGACAGTCAAAAGTCAAAATTTTTGGTCAACATCTTATTTTGAAGCCACAAACATCATTTGATCAATTCTTGATCATGATTCTCAAAGCATGGCTCAAAAAGTCTCAAGATGCAAAAGTTTCTATTTTTGGACAGTTGAAAAAGTCAACTGCAAATTGACCAAGGCATAACTTCCACATGGTTTATCAGAAAAATTCCATCCAAAGCTAATTTTGAAGAGAATAACATTTCCTACAACTCATCTTCACACTTCAAGTCCAAGAAATTCTCTCACAAAAAGTTATCAATCTCAACATTATAGGTCATTTTCAAAAGTCAACAAAAAGGCACTTTAAGTCAAAGACCATAATTTGAGATTGGTAAATCAAAATGACATGGGACCAAAGGCACTGGTTAGAGGACTTCAAGACCTTTCCAAAATGTCCAAGAACATGATCAAAGCTTAAAAATTGAGCAAGATATGCCTTGTGGAAGTTGGGAAAGTTTTGGGAATTTTGAAAAGTCAACTTTGCTTCAAATGCCTCAAAATTGCTAATGGGCCTCAATTTCTTCCATGAAACATTATCCAAAGGCCATGCACGACCCATTGACCCCAAAAGGGAGTTATTTTATCATTTTTGATTAATTATTTGAATTATTATTATTATTAATTCACTTAATTAAAATTAAATATGACAAAAATAGCAAATCATGTTTTCCAAATCCTTTTGTGCAGCATATTCTCTCATTAAGGCCTAAATATTTCGTGTACCACATCAAGGGACCAAATCTTCCAAAATAGGCAAGTTCCGTGGCAAGAAAATATTGGAAAAGATGCTTGAAAATCAAATATTGAAAAGCATTAAAACATGGATTTTGGGATGGTTTTTTGACCTAGTTCTACTCACACATATATGCACATTGCAACCCTAATGCAAAGAACAAGAAAGCTGCGCCTCAAGCATAAGAACAAAACTTGCATTTTTGACAAAAAAGTGAGAAACTGTTTTCATAGCTAGAGAGTGATTCAAGGTCCAAAAAGTATTCCAATCCACTCCTGGCATTACCAGGAAGCTTCTCCAATTGAAACCAACCCTCCATACGCAAGGAATCGGTATAACGAAGTCTGACTTTTCTTGAAAATCTTCATATTCGTGTTTCATTATTCATGCATTATTTGTGATTTTCAATCATTGATTTGGACTAACGTGAGTATTCTGAAGCTGATAGCATGCTTTAATTGAAGTATTAAGCCATGTATAAGATTCCACCATGAATGCATATTAGGGTTTCAGAGACTTTGAAAGAGGGCTTCATTCATCTGGAAAAATTGGCCAAATACACCTATGCCATTGGACTCAGGACCTCAAAACGAATTGAACTCACTAGTCGCGCCCTTTTTATATTTGCGTATGATCTATTCGCTATTTTTCAGTTTGAGTTTAGTGGGGGTTTAAAACCCCCGCTATTTGATATTAGTTTCAGGAAAAAACGAAGAAGCAAGGGAGAAGAAGATGAGCTGTTGGCTTATGGTTGGCTGATTCAAACATTGGCGCATTTTGTTTTTAATCCATCATAGCGTTTATTTTTCACATATAATATTCATTGCCCACTAAATTAACAAAGAAACGCACTAGCTCCATTGGTAGATGCGTTGTCATGCAAGCAATCGGACCTGGGTTCGATTCCCAGGTCCCCATATTTCCCTATAATTTTTGTTGTAACATGATACTATGCAGCTTTCATCCAAAGGAGCACCATACGCCCAACGCCTTGGCTTGCCACGCGCCCAGAAGCTTCCATCCAATGGACATAACGTGGAGACTATCATGCACGCTCAGTCAACCACAAGCACATGATCAGGAAAGTCAAAGATGACTTTGTCTAATGGGCCAAATTGCTCAAATGATACCTCCCTAATTGGGCCAGGAACCCCCTCTGTTTGTATTCTTCTTTCTTCTCTCTTTTCAATTCTTTTTTTTAATTTGTTTTAATTATTCTAGTTAATTCACCAAAATAATTTTTACAATATAAAAAAAACAGAAAAATCATAAAATAAAAAATATGTTTCATCAATATTAATTTCCATTAATTTTGTAAATAAATTCCAATAATCAATTTAGTTT